AGTGCCACGCATGGTCTCCTGATTCACCTAGTGCCATGCATGGTCTCCTGATTCACCAAGTGCCATGCATGGTCTCCTGATTCACCAAGTGCCACACATGGCCTGCTTAGGTCCTGATTCACCAAGAACCATGCAGGGCCTCCTTAGGTCCTGATTCACCAAGTGCCATGCACACCCTCCTTAAGTCCCAATTCACCAAGCGCCATGCACGGCCTCCTCAGGTCCTGATCTGAACAAACACGCAACATACTTTCCTAAATGAGATGAATGGAGAAATATGAGTGCAGACTTGATATCTGATGACACTAGGGCATTATGTTTCACTTTTTTCAGGTGATTATGATGTTATGTGGGTTTCTTTTAACAGTTCTTACCTTTTTAAGATATATACTGAAATGTTTACCAATGAAGTAAGATGTCTAGGTATTTGCTTCAAAATTATTAAAAAAGGAAAAAGCCATTGTATTGTCCAGTAATGAGATAGGAAGACAAGCTCAAAGTACTTCTATCAACTATTGTTTAAATGTCAACTTCTTGGACCAAAGTGGTAAGCCTCCTCAAGAATCCAGTATTGAGCACTTGAGAGAGATCTGAGAGAGCAAATGTGCTCACCCATAAGTGCACATGAGGAGCACACGCACCGCACACACATGTACAGGCACCACGCACGTGCACACAGCACATACAGATAAACAGACACATGACAGGACACATACATGCAAAGCACACAAACAGCACACACATGTACAGGCACCACGCATATGTAGACACATGTACACACACAGCACATGTGGACATACTCAGAGCACACACATGTACAGGCACCACACACACATGTACACCACACATACGGATACATGGACACATGACAGGACACATGCATGCAGAGCACACAAACAGCACTCACATGTACAGGCACTACACACGTGCAGAAAGAGCACACAGATGCGCACACAGATACATCAGATGCACAACAGACATATGTGCAGGCACCACACGTGCACATGGCATGCACACACACACAGGAAACATATGTATGAATATTGCATATGTGTGCACATAGCAGACAACACACACATGTGCAGAGAACCCAGATGCACACACATGCACACATGGGCATGTATGCACAAAGCACACACACACGTATACACAGCCCACACATGTACCCACAGAATCCAAATGTACACGTGTGCATGTACACATACAACAGGCAGAGGCAGCTGCCAGAGCAACTGTGTGCATGGAAATGCTGTGAGTGTCTGCATGCCACAAAGCACAAGGACTTGGAATGGGCACTGCCCTCTCTCCTTTCTCCAGCTATAAGGAGCAGAGCACACCGGTGGCTACCCCAGCAGTTCCTCATAGGTGAGAGGCAAGCATAAACCGGTGGAGAGCTGTTTCGGGCAGGAAAGAGAAGTGAGTCGCCTGCAGGGGAGGACGTGGCCCTGTGAACATGGTACCTGTCTCAGTTCCTGGGCGTCCCCCTCAGAAATGAACGTCTCACTCGTCTGCAGCTGAAGCGGCCTGCTTTCCTGGCTTCCTGAGGAAGGCTCTCGGGGCACCGTGCGGTCCATCAGCCCAGACGCTGGAATGGAAAGTCAAACAGCAGTGACCTCTTCCAGAAGGTGTGAACAACACAAGAGCATTCAGAACTGTACAAAGAGCTGTGTTTAAGGCATCTATTGGTCTGTAGCGCCTGTGCCTGGCAGGGCAGTGAGTGTGGTGGGTCCATCTTGAGCCTCTGCTGAGCTGAGTGGGGTGCGGCCTGCCCAGGCCTCACCTTCTACCCCAATTCAGGGCTACTTCCTCACCCCACGCTGATCAGAGCGTGCAATACTGTAAACACTCAGTCTCTAGTTCCACACCCAGCTCTCAGAAGAAAGTCTCTTTATCCAGGAGTGGTCCTTTTCCTTTTTTTTGAGGAAAGACTGTAGATTTGGAGTATAAAACATAACACTTGTTGAACCCTGGTGAAACGTACATGAAATACACTGCTAGGAACCGCAGCACCATCTGATTACCCCATAGCACGCTGTGGTTCTCGGGAGCACAGGAAACGGCCAGCTGGTCAGGCCAACCAAAGCTGAATGGGGAGCTGTGCTGAGGCGGGGGTGAGTCAGAGTGCAGGCACTGCTCAGGGGTGTTTCCGCTCACACAACACCTGTGCCTGGGTAACCTCACCCAGGAGCCAAAGGGCAGCCTGGCAAGAGATGGCGATAACCAAGGGTGGCTCACGGCCCCTCCTGCAATGTGCCACCTGTCTTTTATTTAAAGAGCTGACTCCAGCTGCAACCTGGCACCGCAGGGCCCAGATAAGAGCATCGATTAGAATCTGTGGCCTACTCTTTTCCATATTACAGACCACCTCAGATACAGAGCATAGCCAAGTTTGTTTATTAGGATGCTGGACAGCGGAGAGCACACTAGGCTGAGAACCAGCAGTCTGGATTCCAGCACCAGCTCCTCTGAGCAGCCTTTTCCACTTCAGTGGGTTGGGGAGCACAGGGGGCCGACAGGTGACCGCCATATCCTTCCCAGGAACCTGACAGCAGTAAGCAGGGCCATCTCGTCAGAGTGGCCTGGAGCACCTGATAAATGCGTCATGCGGGAATGAAGGAGGAGGAACCATTGGGTAAAGCTCTCTACAGAGGAGAAAATCGTTGGGTAAACATCTCCGGAAGGAAAGAGGAAATTGTTGGGTAAAACTCTCTCAGGGAAGAAGGAGAAGGAAATCGTTGGGTAAAGCTCTGTCAGCAAGGGAAGGAGAAGGAAATTGCTGAGTAAAGCTCTCGCTGAGCCTGAAGAGCAGGAGGTCAGCTGGTCACCTCCAGGACCTGCCAACTGGGCAAGCCCCCCCACCCCCCAGGTTAGAGACCAGCCACCTCTGACATACACGGAAATATCCCCTCTATTCTTACTTCTTAAAGTTATTCTTACAAATTAACACTCCCTGAGAGTGCTTGGCCGAGCAAAGAAGGCCTGGCCTCGTCTAGGATAAATGCAGGATGGAACAAGGACAAGAAAGCAGGTATCTCAGGGTCCTAGAGAGGAAAAGGGCCTAGGCCAGATGGAACAGAGTTCAGGAACCAGTCACTGGAGCAAGACCTGCATTGAGACAAGAGCCCGGGGTCCCAGACCTGTGAGCCTGAGCCCTCCCCAGGCCTGTCTCCACTGGGAAGGAGGCCCTTTGTGCTCTTAAACTGTGCACCACCATGAGAAGTGCATCCTACGAAGAACTGTCACACCCTCACGTGCATCTTGGAGGTCTGAAAAAGTCTCTCAAGACAAAACCCTTACTATACACCATGCACTCAGATGTCTGCTCTTCTAGTCCACTCTTTTAACAAAAGCTGGTCACAACCAACCAAATCTGATTTCACAACCTGCGTTCTACAGTCTCCGAAGTGCCATCCTGCTCCAGCATCCCAGGGGTTGATTAATTAGCACAGAGCTTTCCATGACACGCAACTCAGCGTTGCTTGATCTGACATGATCTAAAATATCACTCACCGAGACGTTACATAATGAAAAGCACTGAGCTAAAACAGTCAGCAGCCAAGTACCGCAGCGCAAGGCTGGAAGACACGACAGCAGAAACAGAGGACATGTTCTACTGGTTATTGTTAGCCTGAAGGAGAGACCAACTGAGGGGCCTGACGTTAAAACGTTATCGGTGATCCTGCAACGGCAAAGTGCACCTCACTCGCCTATGTCAACAGTAGTTCTACCATCTAACGGGTGAGAGCAAGCTCCTCACTCAGCCTGCACCCTCCTTCCTCAGTCTGTTCCCCAATCCTGCGGGCTGATGTTCCAGCCCCGGCACCCCATCCCCATCACATGGGCCCCGCTCAGCCTGCACTCCATCTGCAGATGTCACGCGGACGAGACGTCCCCCAAGGAAAGCCTGGTGGCGCGTCCCCACCTCGGCCCTTCCAGCAGCAGCAATCTTCCCTCGTCTGTCCTGCTGTCATTCAGTCTGTATACTTTTGATATTAACTTGCCTGGTAACGCACTACTTATTTTTTCAGCGTCTTCTCAAACTGGGATCTCCCCAATCAGCTTCTCTGAGAGCAAGGCCCACAGCAATCCATACCTGTGCCCAGCACTGTGCTCCTTCCCTGTCACTCTGGTTTCCATTTCAACACCTACAGCTATGTTATATAGAGAGACATACTGACAGTTTTTGAACGTTTAACAAAGGAGGTTTTACTTAAACAACCAAAAGGCCAAAACAGAGGATTTTTCTTTCTGGACTACACTAAGTCAGGGATGCTTTTCACAACGAGCTGCAGGGTCAGTGGGATCCCGCCTAGCACAGGCTCGGCCACCCCCAGTGTGGTGCTGAGACTTGAGTTGCTGACTCAGTGCCTTCAATGTTTTGAAATACCATCTGAGAAAATTAATTTGGGTCAGTATTAGATGGCTTTTGTCTCTAAAGTCATTATTATCTCAGTTAAACAAAATAAGCAGAAATTCTTCAAGCTACAGGGGAACTTACAGATGATTTCAATTTCCAGGAAGCAGGAGGCATCGAGGGGGACCTTGAGCAAGGGCTGGGCTGCAGGAGCACTAGGACACCAGTGTCCTCTGTGCATCAGACACAGACCCTGACCTTACCACACACGCAGAGCAAAGACCACCAGGGCCTGACTTGGGAGCAGAAGAACCGCTCCAAGCCTGTCTGGCCACAGACAAATCTTTCTCCTTGTCCCTGGGCCCCCAAAGCCACACTGATGATAGGGAAATGCCTACTCCACCCAGGGACAGACCCTGAAGTTTACTGGGGTGGGAAGCCCTTTCAGAACAAACACAAAATGCCCATGCTCTCCACAAAACAGAAAGTGTAACAGAGAGAAAGCTCAAATGGAGAGAGACAGCAGTCTCAAATGGTTACAATTACAACTTACTTTTCAAATTTACAAAATTATATGATGCATAGCTTGGACCCGTGGGGCCCTGGAAGGGATCAAGTGGGTGAGGGCCGAGCAGCTCCCTGGGATTCTGCTGGTGTTCAGGGAGTGCCCGGGTCCTAGTGACCATATGGGGCCTGTGTGTGGTCAGCACAGCGCGAGTGTCCTAGTGACCACACAAGGTCTGTCAGTGGTCAGGGGATGCCCCTGTCCTAGTGACCACACAGGGTCTGGCAGTGGTCAGGGGGTGCACATATCCTAGTGACCACACGAGGTCTGTCCGTGGTCAGGGGGTACCCCTCCCTATCCTAGTGACCACACAGGGTCTGGCAGTGGCCAGGGGGTGCCCGTATCCTAGTGACCATATGGGGTCTGGCAGTGGTCAGGGGGTGCCCCTATCCTAGTGACCACACAGGGTGTGGCAGTGGTCAGGGGGTACCCCTATCCTAGTGACCACACAGGGTCTGGCAGTGATCAGGGGGTGCCCACATCCTAGTGACCACATGAGGTCTGGCAGTGGTCAGCGTGGTGCCCACATCCTAGTGACCACACAGGGTCTGGCAGTGGTCAGGGTGTGCCCCTATCCTAGTGACCACACGAGGTCTCTCAGTGGTGTGTGGGTGCCCATATCCCAGTGACCACACAGGGTCTGGCAGTGGTCAGGAGGTGCCCCTATCCTAGTGACCACACAGGGTCTGGCAGTGGTCATTGGGTGTCCGGGCTTGATCCTGCACAGGGACTTCAATGCTCCAGACGTTTATTTACCATCACACAGAGTTGTGTGTGTCCTCTGGTTACCAGGGCCTGTCCTGAGTGCTGGAGATGCAGCGAGAGAAGACAGATTGGGTCTGGCTCTGGAGCACACGTCCCAGTGTGCTCTAGGCAAGATTTCTAGGGGGTGAGTGACTGGTGACTGGAGGCCTCTTAAATTAGATGGTCAGGGAAGGCCTCTCTCAGAAGGTGATAGCAAACAACAAAGCCAAAAATCAGTACCCCAAAATCCCCTTAAAAATGCTATGCATGGACCTTGCTCTGATGTGATGAGAAGGGCTCTGGGGTATCCTCCCTAACCCATCACCCAGTGGATCATGAGACAGCAGGAAACAAAATCCAACTGGGCGACATCCTACAAAACCTGACCACTACCCCTAAAAACCACCAAGGCCATCAAAACGAGGAGTTTGAGAACCTGTCACAGTCAAGAAGAGCCCAAGGAGACGCAACACCGAAATGTCGTGTGGGATCCTGGAACGGCAGAACGTAAGGAAATCTAGATAAAACGTGGACTTTAGTGAGCAACGACGTATCAATATAGGTTCATTAGTCGTAACACTGAAGGATACTAACGTCAGATGACAATAGGGGACACTGGGTGTGGAGACACAGGAACTCTGTACTATCCTCACAACTTCTTCTGCAAGTCTGAAACTATTCTAAAATTAAAAAGATTATTTTCAAGATGTTATGCAGAAAAACAGCAATTTCAACTGTTCTTCCCTGAGATGGAAACTGTCCCCGCTGTGTCATTCCTGGCCCCTGAAGCCCAGGAGACTCTCCTCCTCCCCCGGCTGCCGTCCTGGCCACCCCAGGCCCTCACCCATCTACATTACACATTACTACCAAGGGCTCTGGAAAGTTCTTCTAGACACTGACTCACAGCAAACACTAGTCCCCTGTTACCAGACCGCCACCTTCTGGCCACATATTCCATCAAAATAGTCATTGAGAAGAGGAATAAATTTCTGAGATGTCAAAGTCATGGTTTCCACCTCCACTGTTTCTGTAGTTTCCAACGTGGAACAGGGAAAACAGAGGTGTTGGCAGACAGGCATCGTGCTGGCAAACACCACCACAACAGGGGCAACAGTGACAAGTACCTTCTCGTGGCTGGGCTTGAACAGAACTACTGTGAAGCTCCTAGCAAATTAGATACCTTCTTGCTTACTGAGCTCAGCCTGCTGGCTTCTCCCAAATGTACCACCCCTTGTCACTGTGCCCCTCACACCCAGGGCTGGAAGGCACTCCCGCCCCCAAGGCAGGCGGCTCACGGAGGGAGGATGGCACTTCTTGCTCGGTCCAGAATCAGACACACTGCTGGGATCCCCCCAGAGGCTAAAGTTAGCACCAAGATGAAAATCCATCTATCATCCCGGATGCAGCTTAGCTCATTCCACACACATCCAATCTGTTACTGTGATGGGCGAGGCCCCAGTTACTCAATCCGGTCCTGATCTAGGTGTTGCTGGGAAGGTATCCGTAGATGTGGAGAAGGCCCATAATTAGTTGACTTTAGGGAAAGGAGACTGTCCTCGATAATCTGGTGGGCCTGGATGAATCAGTTGAAAGGCCTTAAAAGCAGATCTGAGACTTCCCTGAGGAGGATGTTCGGCCTGTGGTCAGCAGCCTCAGCCTGTGCCCAAGAGGTCCAGTCTGCCCTTCCTGATGGCTGGCGTGCAGAATTTGCACTCACTTAGCTTCCTCCAGTCCGACCACGGCTACAGATGCCCTGGCACTCACATCATGCTCCTCTCCAGCTCCATCTGCAGCCTGGATGCTCCAGGTCAGAGCCTGTCATCCACCTCCCACGGGGCCGCCCTCATGATAGCAGGCACAGGGAGCTGCACTCTTCTCACTTGCACAGCATGACGTTCTGGGATCGCATCTGCCATCTCATTTGTTACATTCTGTGCCATGTTCTCTCTCTCTGAAACCACCGCACCTAATATAAAGCCCAGGACATGGTGGAGCCCCATGAGAACAAGGATTGTGTGTTTTATTTAGTCTTGTTTTCTGGGCTGTGGAGGCCTGGCACCATGCCTGGCACAGGTGGTTCTCAATCAGCACCAGCAGAACCAGCAGCCGACGGTGCCCTGTGTCCAGCCCACCAGCCCTGGGCCTCCTCCCCTCGCTGCTGGGGTCCCTCCCAGAGGAAAACAGCAGTGGGTGTGACTTGGTTGGAGACACGGGGTATCAGAGCAGCTCCCAGGCTGGGCTCACAGGTGGCCTTGCCTGAGGGGCCCTTCTGGTCAGGGTCCTGCGTTGGCCGGTACCGCCCACCCTTTTCAGCCCTTTTAAGGGCCAGCTTCTGGGTCCTGCCTTGAGTGAAGGGCCAAAGAAGAATCTGGAAATGTCAAGAAACTAAGTTTTTAAATTAAGTTTTTACATGAACATTTCCAATATTTTGGTACTTATGGGACCAGATCTATTATCAAGTATACTTCTTTTTGAAATTTGAAGCCATCTAGAATAACATCAAAATACTCATGTGTTAGGGAAACAGGTTACATATTGGAACTGAAATCAGTCACTTAAGAGAAAAAGAAAAGGAACCAGGATAGTAACAAACATGTCTCTTCCTTTAACAGACATCCAGCCATCAAAGTTAATAAGGAAAGACATCTACTTGGTAGAGAAGTCACTTAATACAGAAGTAACATCATCTATAATGCTAGTATTAGAAAATAGAATATTTTATGACTTTGGGATTTCTTAAGCAGGGCTCAAAAACAAACTTAAGGGGAAAAATGGTGGATTTGACCACCACAGAGGCTGACAGTCTGGGAGAAGTATCAGCAGCCTCTAAAGTCAACAAGGAGTGAATATCTAGAATACACAAGGAACTCCCGCAAATCCAAAAAAAAAAAAAAAAAAAGACAGCCCAGTAGGAAAAAAAAACGGAACAGGCAATCCACAGAGCAAACCCGTGGGGCCAAAAGCAAATAAAAAGCATCCAATGGTCCATCTTATAATCAATCAAAGAAATGAAAATAAAACACCACGAGATGCTACTCGACACCTGTCAGAACGGCAAACCTGGGGAGTCAGCTGACATCAGGTTATACCATGCTCCGGAGGAGGCTGGGACCCGGGAGCCTCACGACATGTGGACGTGTGACATACCCACATGTCCTGCCATCCACAAAAGACCCCCACGGCCACGCCCAGCCACACCCTCCACACCCCACAGAGACTGCGACAGGGCCCCGCAGCCACACTGCCAGGGAAAGCAAGGGTTTCACAGGACCTCACAGATGCCAAAAAACACACAAACTTGATGTGCACAGTTTTCAAAGATCCTGATACCTAAACGCACTGGAAGGTGGGCTGGGAAGACCTGGATTAAATGCCAAGAGAACCAGAAGCGCGGCTGGGTCAGGGGTGGAGGGACTGGAGACCTACCCGAGTAGGCAGGGATGGTGCCAGTTAAGACCCTAAAGTGCTGGTTTTCAAATCAAGCAGAGGAAAGAGGTGAAAACACCAAATTTGGAGCTTTCCTTTGCTCTGAAAGGGTCACCCAAATCCTTTCTGATCTATTTGGAAACCCACACAACTGTTAAGTGTGTGATAAACCTGAGCGATTTGAGACTCACAGATGGCAAGTACTAAGGAAAATGGTCTGAAATTATTTTTATTTACATACACAAGGGCAGTTGCTAGTGAGCTGAAACCAACAGCTGCTGCAAGCAATGCATCGTGTTACGTATATACCACGGGCGTGCTGAGTTTGTGATTTCAGATGTCTGTGCACAGGCTGTTTTGATGGTCACTCACCTGCATGCCAGACTGAGTAGCCCTTCTCTGCTGGGAAAGAGGTTCTAGCGCGCCCGAGCGTCAAGGTGTCTTCTAACGACTCCATCTTCTTGCTAAACTGCACTTCCAAAATGGGGATGACCTCTGGCATCTTGGCAGATATCAAACGATAAGCTATGTCTGGCTTCCCAATAAACCGCTGGCGGATGCTAATTTCATAAGGCGTGTGAACCTTAATGTCATCCACATCTTCTCTTTCAAATCTGTGCATGAGCGAAGAATCTGAGTCATGGATTTCCAACCCAGAAACAAGGACAGTGAGCCTTCCTGGTTTAACATGCGATTCTGTTCTTTGGGAAATAACAGCAGGAATGCTGACCACTATCCCTTCTTTCCCCAAAGCTTTAGAAGTAGCCACTGAGGCGCCTCCCCTGGGCTTTGCTTCTGACGGCATCTTCCAAAGCTTGGAGCCAAAGGGCCACCAAGAAGGAGATTCCAGCTCTGTCAGCAGCCTGCAGAGCAAACCAAACACAGAAAACCAGTCAATCGATTTTTGATACTGTTTTTGAAAACTACTTTAGCCTTTATAAAGCACTTTACTGTTTTACAGTTTTCTTTTCCACAAGCATTCCACGAAGCAGAAAGAGCAAGAATTATTATCCTCGTGTTTTAGAAAAGAAAACTGAGGCTGAGAGAGAGCAGCAGGACATTTGCCTACAGACACAAAGATAATCAGTAGTAAAGACACAACCAAAACACACATCTCTAACGAGAATGTTGGTTTTTTTTCACACCTGATGCTGGGTACTTTTTGACTCAAAATAAATCCTGATCATAATCTTTAGAGAACTGTTGAGTAGAACTCTCTGCAGTAATCTGTACTGTCGAATACAGCAAAAGGAGCATGTGGCTACTGGGCATCTGAAATGTAGCTAATGCAATGAGGAACTGAATTTTAAACTTAATTTTAATGTGGCTAGTGGCTACCGTATTGGACAGCACAACTCTAAAATAAGCACTAGTAACACCAAGAAATATATCTAAAAAGTCAATAGAAGAGCAAAAAAACGGAAGCAGGAAAGGAAAAGCAAAAGAACAAAGATCAAATGGAATAAATAGAAAACAAATAATAAGATGCTGGAATTAAACTCAACCATATTAGTTATTATACTAAACATAAATGGACTAAATTCTCTAATTAAAAGGCAGAGTGTCAGCCTGGGTAAAGAAGCAAGACCCAGCTATATTTTGTTTGCAAGAGACACTGTGAAATATAAGGACACAGATACATAAAAACTAAAGGAATTGGAAAAAAGACATATCACACCAAAAGTCAACTTTAAGACAAGGAATATTACCAAGGCTAAAGAGGGACAATGTATAATAATAAGAGGACAAATCCAACAGAAAGACTTAACAATACTAAACATGTATGCATCCAATAATAGAACTTCAAAATTCATTAAACAAAAATTGACAAAACTAAAAGGAGAAATAGACGATACAGTTATAGATTTTAACAAATTTCTCTCCATGACTGATACAAAAAGAAGACAAAAATAATTAGTAAGAATATAGAAATTTTGAATACTGTTTAACCAACTCAACCTGATTGATATTTATAGGAACATCATCCAACTGCTGAATGCACCTTTTTTCCAATGGTATTCAGAATATCAAAAAAAGAGTATAACAAGTTTCAATAAATTCAAGCACGTTCTCTGTCCTCAAATAAATGAAACCAGAAATCAGTAATAAAAAGTTCACTAGAAAATCCTCAAACATTTAGAAATTAAACACAATTCTAAATAAAGGAAATTAGAAAATATTTGAAGTGAATGAAACTGAAAACATGATATACAAAAAATGGTGGGATGCAAATACAGCAGAAATTTATAGCTCTCAATACATATACTTGAAAACTTCTTAGAAAGGTTTAAAATCAGTGATCTAAGCTTCTATCTCAAAAAGTTATAAATTAAACCCAAAGTAAGTAGAAGAAAGGAAAAGCAGAAATCAATGAAATTGAAAACAGAAAAACTACAAAATATTAACAAAGCCAAGAGTTAGTTCTTTGTAATAATTTAAAAAATTAAACCCCAGCAAGAAATGATCAAGAAAAACATAAAATGCAAATTACCAATCAGGAATCAAAAGAGGGCGCTACCATATATCCTTCAGCCCTTGAAAGGCTTATGGGGAATATTATACTCAACAATGCATCCAAAAATTGGACAACTTACATGAAATAGAGTAAACACTTGAAAAATCAAGCCTCCCAAAACTGAGGCAAAAAATAGTTTAATATGAACAGCCTAAGAAATTAAATCGGTACTTAAAAATCTTGCCATAGAGAAAACTATCATCCAGGTGGCTTCACTGATGAATTCTGCCTAACATATAAGGAAGAAATAATAACAACTGTACACCAACCCTTTCAAATAAAGCAAGAGTGAACGCTATGCCCATTCAGTTCACAACACCTCTATAACTCCTATACCAAAACTCAAGGACATTACAAGAAAATAAGTACATAACATTATCCCTCAGTAACATAGATGCAGAATTCCTTATAAAAATGTTAGCAAATCAAACATAATACATAAAAAAGAATACTATATCATGATTAAGTGAAATTAATCCCAGGATACTGAGGTTGATTTAACATTTGAAAATTAATCAATGTAATATATCCCATTGATAGAAAAACAGAATGAAAACTGTATGATTATCACAAAAGATGCAGAAAAAGAACCTGACAAAATTTAACAATCCTTCATGTTAAAACTTCCAGCAGAAACAGAAGGAAATTTCCTCAATCTGATAAAGAACATCTATAAAATCTTAAAAGTGACAGCTTGCCTAATGCTGAAAAAGTCAATGAGATCAGAAACAAAGTAAAAAAATGAGCCGACTTCCAAACTATCTGAATTTTGACAGCATTCCCCAAGTTATACACAGATCCACCACCAAAGGATAGGCCTTATCTGCACAAGGCGTTGAAGCACAGCCTCTGTCTAATCCACAGCTGACCACCGGGCGATGCTGACGCAGGGACGACCCCTAGGAACCAAGCCAAGCTTAAAAATCAAAACGTTTAAAACAAATTTAAAAAGCTGAGCAGAGACAGCAGATGGTGCACATGACAGCGTTAATACACTCCACAGAACTAGCCCAGGTAAGTTACTAAAATGAGCAGACAAACAAAAACCACCACTCTGTGGGCCAGAGAGAGAAGAATTCTGACTTGTAACAATATAACATTTAAAATGCCAAGTTTTCTAACGAAAAAGTATGAGATATGCAAGGAAACAGAAAAATGTGATCCATACACAAAAATCAATAGAATCCATTTCTGAAAGTACTCACATACTGGATTTAACAGATTAAGATTTCAAAGAAATTATTATAAATCTTCAAGAATTAAAGGAAATCACACTAAAAGGATTAAAGAAAAGCACAGTGATGTCACCCTTAAAGATAAAACAGCCAGTTCTCTTACCAGCAAAATGAGTTTATTCAGCAATAGCCAAAGAATTGCAATTCAGGACGTGCAGGCTATGGCAGAGCATGGGCAAATCCAACAAATAAGGGGGAGGAACATTATTTTACAGGGAAAAAGGAGAAAGTTGGGAGGGGTTGTTTTGAATGAAAGTCTATTGGAGAAAAGCAGGACTTCAGGGTGGTGATGGTTTCTCATTGGCTGAGTTGCTGGGGTCCTTTATTTCTATTTGGGATGCAATGTACATTTCTTCCTGTAATTAATAATTCTTTCCTGCTGACTTATTTCTGCTGATAGTCTGTAGGTGACTATCTTTCCTGTAATTGACCTCGAGCAGTACTGCAGGGGACCTCCCCCTTCTGGCCTCCTGACTCCATTTTAAATGAGGTTTCCCTTTATTAATTTTCGCAGTGACAATGATTCATCAAGTAGAGACTATCAATAGTGGTAGAAGTTATATAAAAAGAACTAAATGGAATTTCTCAAATTAAAAAGACAATAACAGAAATAAAAATGTCACTAGAGGCGCTCAATAGCAGATTTGAAATGGCAGAAAAAAGAATCAGTGAGTTTGAAGACACAGCAACAGAAATTATATAGTCTGAAGTTCAGGAAAAAAGAATGAAGAAAAACGAACAGATCCTCAGGGACCTAGGTGGTACCACTGAACACACCACCAACATACACATAACGTGGCTGTGAGAAGGAGAGGAGAGAAAGGGACAGAAAAAAATGTTTGAAGAAATAAAGTCTAAAAATTTCCCAAATTTGATAAAAAAAAAAATAACCTATGCATTTAAGAACCTAAACAAATGCCGAGATACACACCTTAGTCAAACTGCTAAAAGACAAAGACAAAGAGAAAAATTTGAAAGCAGCAACAGAGAAATGATTTATCATGAACAAGGGAACCGTAACAACATTAACAGTGGACCTTGGGCGGGCCCCGTGGCTTAGCGGTTAAGTGCGTGTGCTCTGCTACTGGCGGCCCGGGTTCGGATCCTGGGTGTGCACTGACACACCGCTTCTCTAGCCATGCTGAGGTGATGTCCCACATACAGCAACTAGAAGGATGTGCAACTATGACATACAACTATCTACTGGGGCTTTGGGGGAAAAAAAAAAAAAGGAGGAGGATTGGCAATAGGTGTTAGCTCAGAGCCAGTCTTTCTCAGCAAAAAGAGGAAGATTACCACAGATGTTAGCTCAGGGCTGATCTTCCTCACAAAAAAAGAAAAAAAAAAAAAAACAGTGGACCTCTATCAGAAACCAGGGGATCAGGAGGCAGTGGGAGACAGATGCAAAGTTCTGAAAGAAACAAAACTGCCAGTGGAGAATCCCATACCCAGCATTACTGTCCTTCAGGAGTAGAGCAAAATAAAAACATTCCCAAACAAACACTGAAAGAATGTACGGCTAGCAGGCCTGCCTCCTGCAAAAAAGACTAAAGGAAGTTCTTTGGGCTGAAAGGAAACGACACCCTCAGAGGGAAACTCAAATCCACAGAGAAACACAGAGCTCTGGTGAGGGCGTCGTGTGGGGAATCAGGCATTTCTGTAAACAAACGTTCCCATTTACAGCTCTGGCCAGGGCATCGCGCCAGGAATCAGGCATCCCTGTAAACAAACGTGCTCGTTTACAGCTCTAGTGAGGGCATCGCGCAGGGAATCGGGCATCTCTGTAAACAAACGTTCCCGTTTACTTTCTTCACTGATTCAAAAGTGCATAAAGCAATAATTTAAAAATTATACAGTAGAGCTTATAACACATAAAAATATAATATATATGACATATAATAGCACAAAAAGGGGTTAGGAGAATGACAGAGACGATAACTTGTAGATAAATCCAGAGGTAGAAATGACATGTACTGAGAACAGTATGCATGTAGATTAGGATAAAATATCCTATAAATATATTTTTTCTTTCCTCTCTCAGCTTCTTTAAAAGATACAAGATGGTACAAAGTAATAATTATTGTAGTGTATTATTGGGTCCGTAACATATATA